CTTCAAATTTTATTTATAGGCCAATATGTCACACAAGTATTTTTCCAATCCTAATCTGCATTCTGAAGCTCACACCAAAATAGCCAGATGCCAAATCCACATGCCTATTTGAATGTCCTAAATGTGCCTCAAACTCAGCTTGTTATAAACCAGAATTATGATCTTATAGCTTTATCTTGACTTATTCCACTATCCCATCTCAATGTCTTATTTCATTTCAGCATCCCATCTCATTTTAATTGAACCTTTCTACAACAGTGAAGTAACATTGAATTGCATTTCCACCTTATAAGATATTATCAAGTTCATGATGCTGAATTCTAAGTATGATAATCTTCTTTCCCAGGTTACACAAAATTATTTATATACATAGTACTCCTACCGAATGGGGGAGGTAGAAGCTTAACTTGGGTAAATGCCAATTAGTAAGCAAGGGTAGCCTGATCACACTCATCGGGCATCTCCCTAAAACCCTGTGTCACTTTTTCTCTAGGAACACACACATGCTGAAAAACTCTGGTCTTTTATTTCACTGGAGATGTGTTCAGCCTTATTTCCTAACATACCAATCTTTCTTCCCTATTGCAGTGCTATTGAATAAAGTCTTCCTTGCACGTTTAACAGAGACTGGTGAAATTTTCCTTTGAGATCACGATTGGGTTATTATCATATAACAACTTCAGGAAATTTCTTTCTTACTTTGTTATCTGAAATCGTCTTTCCAATATATTAAAAGCTGTCTATAAAGCCACTTAGTGTCATTTGAGGGTAGTAATTTCTGGTTCATTCAAATTGTCTTTGCTCTTGGTAAATTTTGGTCATTTAAAATATTTTAGAAATTTCCTATTTCATCTAAATTTTAAACACATTTACAAAATTTATTTTTATATTCACCTTTGATTTAAAAATTTCTATTTTATCTTCAAAGTGCTACATATTTTTCTATTTCTAAGTCTCTCTCTCTTTCTCTCTCTCTCTCTCTCTCTCTCCCTCCCTCCCTCCCCATCTGTTTCTCTCCCCTTTCCCCTCCACCCCCCACTTTTTATGTCTTCTGTGGTCAATTCTGTTTGAGATTTGTACATTTCAGTAATTCTTATTTTAAAAAAAAATTTTCACTAACATTTGTCTACTTATTATTTTATGATGCAGTATGTTAAAAATCCCTCAATTGAGGGAATTTTGTTAATTTATCTATATAATTCCTGGCCTAACTATTATTTTGAATAACTTATTTATATAGAGGAAATATATCTTTAATGTTATTTAAATATATGTATGTGATCATGTTATACATATTCAAGCAAATTGGTTCTGAGGTTATATAGTGTAAACACATTTTTCTTTAATGCTTGTATACAGTTTTCATTTTTACTCTTCCCATAAACTGAATTATTAATTTGATCTACACAATTCCATATTTTCTTCATCCTCTTATAATCAGCTTCAGACTTATAGAGCGATTCATATACAGCAAAAATAACAAACTACCCAACATGGTCCATTTTATTTGTTACTCACACCTGGAATCTCTTGCAGTTAAGTGCACCAGGAGCCTAAGACTTCCCCAATAGCATGGCAATTGGACTGCCATTGCCACAAGTCACACATGCCCTCATCCTCCATTCTTTTGGGGCCTGACTATAATCTCAAGGAAGAGGTAGAACACAGAAGGCCTGAAATGAAGACAGCAGAGTCTGCCTCAAATGACAACAGGACTCCAACCAACACCAATCATTTTTTTTTATATGATTTGGAATTTGGGGTTGTATTTCAACCTGAGATTTGTATTATTATTGCTACTGGTTTTTTCCTTCCTTTCTTTATTTTTTTTCTTTGAATTATGGTTGTATGGTTCCTGCCAATAACCTCAGTCTTCCAATGTTTATTCTGAAGATGCCAGACCTCTGCCCCACAGTGTTAGTAGGAATTTTCCTGAACAAGTCTCTTCCAGCAGATGACTTGTCTCAGGTCCAAATGAGAGCTGAGTCTATTTCCTTCATTTTCCTGGGTCTGCAATTCCTTTAAACTGCAATCTCAGAGAGATGCTAGCAGCAACTGGGGGAGGAAGGATTTTACTTCTGAACCTGGTGAAGTGCAGTGAGATTTAATTAAAATCCCTGGTTATTCCAATATACATTATTGCTTTAACTATATTGGAGCACCACTACTGTCAGCAATTTTGTTGTACCATGCAGTTTCAGACCGACTCACTACCTTTCTAATTTGTTTTTAATTCAATTATTTTTTTTCTTCTTGCTTGCACTTAACAAAGTCTTTTTTATACCCATCTATATTTTATCTTTTATTTTAATGACCATAGAAGAAATCTCAGCCTGCATATGTACTTCCATTTTTTTTTTGAAAACAAGGCTTTAAAAAACAGATTCCATGCCTCCACACATAATCACTGAGTCTGAATCTCTGTTGCTGTGTCTTCAACAATATTTTTTATTTTAATTCAAAATTTGGTTAATGCATAACCAGGTTTAAGAGTGTGCATGATATTCTCATATTATGTGTGATGCTTCTTTAGTGGAAATTCCATAAAGCCTATTGAGGAACTCCACTTATTAAAAGAAGTAATGAACTCTTAACCCAATATTTTTTTTAAAAAATGTGATTCCTGTTAGTGAAGATTAATTTGAAATGCAACTGTTCTGTTTTGTGCAAGATGACATTGATCATAGAATGTCCAACAGGATACAACCTATCACAGGTGAAAGTGAAAGTCATTTTGCATGCCATGATCACATTTGACCTATAAAATGTCCACATACTGTCATTCACATTCAGCACTTTAGGTTTCAATTCTGGCTGGTTGTTTGATAAAAAAGAAGAAATTTAATGCATGAAATTTCAAAGCCCCATTAATGTTTTAGCACATATTAGGGGAAAATGGTTGTTGCTCTAAATAGGAAAATAAAATGAATATCCTCAGGGTAATTTGAAGGCTCAATTTCTAAAATAATAATAATAATAACAATAATAAGTGGAATGGAATTTAAAATAACAATTCTGGTGATTGCATTTAAGTAATTTTTATACAAAGGAGCCTTTAACTTCAAAGTTCATCTTTTTCAATATGTGTATGTGGCTCTCCTCAGTGTTTGTTTTCTCTGATCATGAACTGGCTGGGTTAGACTGACTATTACGGAGTTACTGAAAGAAGATGTCTGAAAAGGAAGGAGAAAAGAGAAATGATCCTTCAGCAGACATTTCCTGTGATTGAAGACTGACGTGAACAAAAACTAAACTCCCTTAATAAAAATATGGAGATGTACAATATTTCTAACTGTTCATTTGATGTGTTTTTGCCTTAGATTGGCAAGGAAATATAGAATCATCATGAGATTCAATCACTTAATGACATAAGACCATTTCAATTTAGATTGTTATATAAGTGCACAAGGCAATTGATAGTAAGATCATAGAAAACAAAATCTAAAGTCTGTTTAAATTGCTAAAATAATTTAGCACTTAGGATCCAGTATAATTTCCCTAGACATCACAATTCATCCCTTGAATTACAAAACACAGCATTTTTTTATCTGTCTACTGAAAACATAACGTACATATGGAAAAATGGTTTAATTTTTCATACATATTCCTTAAATAGCAAAATTATGTATCACACCAAAAGAATTCCAACTATAGGGGTTGAAAGACAGAAAATTTTAGGTATGATAATACATTTCTAAAAGGAAGCAAAAATACATTTGGAGCTATACAGCTTTAAATACTTTACAAAACACCAAGTGCATATATAGATGGAGAAAAAAAAATGTGTTGTGTTCTTCATTAAATAGCAGTTTTATTTAATTTAAAATTAATTGCAAAATTTAAAGGACTGTGACTTAAGGGTACGGTTTATACATTGTCACACTTACTAATGGGGGCTCTCCATGCATCCTTCATTTCTCCCACTGATTCTTCTGTCAGCTTTCCCTTCCTGCTGCTCTCCACATTTTCACAGCTCTAACATGTGTTTATATAAGTACATCAGAAGTTTGTTTCTTTTGGGGGAAAAAATGAAAAGTAGCAATGGCCTAAAATTTTTACTGTGAAGTTCTTCTACATTGGTCAATTACTTCTCTGGATCATTTTGCTTGGGTAAAGGTAGAAACAGGCTATTCCTGACATTCAGGATGGTAGGTCTAGTTCATGGTTTCTCTGGTTTCAACAATTCACCAATATGGGTATAATGGAAACTTTCTGATATTTATTCTGACACCAAGAAGTAATCAACAGCTCTGAGTAAAATGCCATGCTTTTGGAATGTAATTGGATTAGCTAGAAACTAAATGTATTACGCTGGAGTTAGCATGTTTACTTATGTTTCAGGAGGCCTTACTGGATGCAAGGAATGTCAGAATTCACCTTACTCCAAGTTTACCACAGTGTTAAGACTAGAGGTGCAGCATGCCCCAACAGAATGGATACAGAATTTTATTTGGGAACCTAGTTCTGAGGCAGACTCTGCTACCTACTATAATAACTTTAAAAGTTTCTAGACCAATTGGATTTCTTTATCCATAAAATGAGAAAGGGGATTAGACATCTTATCTACCAATATCTCCTACCTACATATTTTGTTTGCAATTCTATTGTATCTGAACTTAGAAAATAGCAACCTTTCATAGAGAAATGTTAAGTATTTCATTTTATCCTAAATATTTTCTTTCTAGGCTATTGATTCTTCTTTTGATATTTACAGAATGTATATTTCCCCATCTACTATGGGATTGTGGAATCAAAATTGCATGTAATTTTTCAAAGTTCAGTATTTCTGACACAGCTATTCTTTCTTTGCTATTTCATTGTACAATTTATAATTTGATGATGGGGAATGAGTACTTTTCCCTTCCTTTAAAAACATGACAGCAAATGAAGACTGTTGTTTTGAAAATCAAAGAAAAGAAATAATATATTACTGTGTTGCCAATAGCTTAATATACCATGGGCAGACCAAGGTGGTTTTACATCTCATTATGCCACATTACCTTTTTCCTTTTGGATAGCTGGGACCTTCACTTCTTTCCCTGTAATAATCTCTGAAAAGAAACATTGCACAATTATTTAAAGTCACAATAAAAAGATGTGAGAACACAGGTATAATGGAGTCAATGAACTATCAGTAAAGCAAAATCTATGTAGAAATAATATGATACTTTTATCCAAAAATTATTTTTATTAGAGACAAAGAAACAACTGTACAAAATACAAGTAGCTCTCCTCAGATCATCTGTACTTAAACTTAAATTGTCTAATAAGCTATAATGTCCTCATTCTTTTAAAATGGTGAGCATTTGAATGGCTAGGAACTTATTTGTAATCTTAGAAAATACATCATTTCAGCATCGAGAAGTCTCCCAAAGTATTTCAGTGCTGACTCGGTTTGTCTGTTTCATAGTATGCTTTTCCAATAAAATAAATAATCCAATGGAAAACCACATACATTATGTAACTGTACTGTTACAATCTTCAGACTCAAATCAAACTGTTCAAGATTGAAACTACCCCAAAAAATGAAGGCCGAATGTTTCCTAGGATAAGCAGATACTGATCCATTGTTGGGGGAGGAAGTAGGGAAGACTGAAGGAACTTTGAAGCCTGCAGAAGGGATTGGGGGAGGGGTGGTGCTATGGGGCAGAATGAGAAGGACATTATTACTATATATATATATATATATATATATATATATATATATATATATATATATATATATATATATAGTTACACTACTGTTGTGACTCTGCACCATGTACAACCAGGGGAATAAGAAGTTGTGTTCTATTTGTGTACAATGTGTCAAAATGCATTCTTTTATCATATATAACTACTTAGAACAAATTTAAATTTTTTTTTAATAAAATGAATGATAGTTGGTTGAGGGAAAGAAGCTAAAATAAAAATTGAGAGATCATTTCATTAAAAAAGCAATTTTTATCTCAAAACTCCCAAAGATTTAAAAATGTGGTCCATAGTTGAAATAAGTCAAATAAAACTTTATTCTACTAGCTTCAGTACAGTGCAATCACTACCATATCATGAAGTCCAACATACATTCAAACAATTCCTTGAATATCATCATAGCTCACCAACAGTCTACCAAAAAGAGAAGACCTATTTTCTGCTTCCTCTACAACATTAATGTTCAATATCTACTTTGTAGATGAAATAAATTTCAATGAGATGGGAAGGCAAAATATCCCTTTTTACCTTCCCATTTTGTAGTTTGGAATGAATAGACTATGATGGTAAAGATTGTAAACAGAAATGTACTCTACCAATCTCTTAGAATTAACTAAGTGTAAGTGGCTAAGGATGTGTTAAGAATGAGTTTAAATCCTTTGGATATATACTGAGGAATGGGATAACTGGGTCAACGTTTATAGCAGCACAATTCACAATTGCTAAGCTATGGAGCCAATGGAGATGCCTTTCAACAGATAATTTTAGTATATTTGATAATATATGAATGAAACTGAATATTATCATGCTAATTGAAAAGCTAATCCCCCAAAAAACAAAGGTCAATTTTTTTTTTCTGATAGGTGGATGCTAACCCACAACAAGAGGGGGAGGGGTAAAGGGGTAGAAGTTCAGTAAAGTAGACAAAGGGGAATAAAGGGAAAGGATGGGGTGAGAAAAGGAAAGACAGTGGAATGAATTTGATACAACTTTCCTATGTACATGTATAAATGTTACCACAGTGAATCTCATCATTAAAAATGTACACCCATCAGTTATTAATTTAAAAAAAATAATTACAAGTCAATGGAAGATATATCAATAAAGGAAAGGGAGCAAGGGATAGGTAGAGGGAAAGGGAAGAAGACATACTAGGGTCTGAATTAGAACAAGATATTCGATGCTTGCATAATTATATCAAAATGGATCTTACTATCATTCTAACTAAAAAGAACCAGTAAAAAATTAAAAGGAATGGGTTTAGAGTTATTATGCAAAGTGAAACAAGCCAAGTACAGGAAGACAAATACATTATTCACTTTAATGTGATTATATATATATATATATATATATATATATATATACATTCAAATAGAGAGTAAAATGATGGATATCTTAGACTAAGGGACAGGAATGGATGTATAGCAGGGGAATGTTGACCAAAAGGTATGAAGTTTCAATTAGGAGAAATAAGCGATGCATTGTACAGAATAGTGAGGTGGTGGATTTGCTAGTCTAATTCTATATTTTCACATTGTAAATACATATAAAAATCACATTGTATAACATAAATATATATAATTATTATGTGTCAACTCAAAATAAAATCTTAACCAAAAGATGTTTCCTTCAAAACAAGAGCTGCTTGGGGAATAAGCAACAAATTAGATACCAACAACACATGTAGAATTTTTGAAAAAGGCTCTGGTGGCAAAGAAGTGTCCATGTTGCTATTGGTGGAGTTGATACAAATAGGACCATTTGTTTCTATATTTCAGCATGTGAAGAGGAAACCAAGAACCATGAATTGAACAAACACACTGGGACCTTTCATTTAATACATTTCAAGCTGATGGCATAATTTGACTGTGCTTGCACATCCTGGCTAAGCCAAAAGAATTAATGTGTTGTGAAATGAGAAGTGATGGTAGGGACAGATTCCCAAGGGGGTGGCTTGGAGTCTCAAAATTACAGATTCAGCAAACAGGTTTAAATAGTTGAGTGTACATGCTTGTATGATATTGAAGTATTTATACAATGCATGCAAGCAGAGGGTCCCCAGGATGACTTTGGTTTTAGCACAGAAAGGAAGGGGTGGAATAACAGGGTACTTTCATAGGCTATTCAAAGATAGTAAACTCATCATCTTACACTCTGGAGAAAGTTCCCAGAAAATATAAGGGATTTCTGTTTCCATGTCTGCTAATGGCAAGATGATTCCAGGCTGGGTCATTTCTGCAGGTCATTTATTTTCAGTTTTCTTCTTTTGATCTCAGTGCATTTTGACTTGATTTAGGAGTTTTCAGGCTTGCCTGAGCAGTCTCTAACTACCCTAAGAGTGAGAGTATTATCTAGAAACTTAACTTCTGTTTTAAGAAAAGGAGATGAATTGGTTTGGTCAGCTCTTAAACTGTTTCTCAACTCATTTGTCTTGTTTGTCAGGAAACAAGAGTATTTTTTTTTTTTACATATATGATAGTTTCTTTGCATTTGCCCAAGAGCCCACAGGATAATTTATGAATCTTGATGATATTTTATAAAAAAGAAAGTGCTTAATGCTGCTGTGCTATAAGCAAGAACTCTGTGAAAATTATCTGAGCAAGGAGGCTGTGATGGAGAAAAGAATAACAAAGGAATAGAAAAAAGTGTCAAATTTGCCATTGCTGCTGCTACTTTCAGAGGTGAAAGGAGTAGGGAATTGGGTGAATGTACATGATGAAGAGTAGCATTTTGGGTGCTCACTTTTGAAATCCTCAGACAACCTATCCTAATTTTAGGTGTAACATTGGTTTGGTGAAAGGGAATAGCCAAGATAAGTCTGGCTAATGGTTAAATAGCCCTCAGGAGATAATCACTTGCCTGATCCTGAGCACCACCATACAAAGGAAGATAAGCTCCACTGAGAATCCTGTGGCTTTAGATGCATATGTATACAGGTCAGGTTCATAAAGATAGTCCACCATTCAGAGTTCCCAGCACACTGTTAGAAAAACAGCAGTACCTAAAAGCAGTCTTATTACATTATCTGAGAAGAACAAATTTATTAATCTCTTTGTTACCTTGTTTGTACTTAGTTTGCCATCCGTTGTTGCCTAGATGGATCTTCCATCATCAGGTCAATCAGAACAGGTGGTAAAAGTAAGTGGGAATAGGAAAGGAATGGATACTCCAAGGAAGATGACCAATAAGAGGCACTAACAGAGTTTTCTGATTTCCAGGTGGTGTAAGCCACATAAGCAGGGCTCTACCCCTGCAGCAGTATGATGCTGCTGAGAGGGTCAGGTGAGTCCAATAGTCAAGGCAAGTCAAGAGCTGAGCCAGCAGCAAATAAGCAACACTAGTCTTTGTTCTGATCTGTTTCTTCGGAGCAATCCTCCTCAGATTTTTCTGTAACTCCTTAAATAAAACCCAAGTTTTATGATGTTCTCTAAAAGCCTAATGTACTCACGGACATGTCATCCCCAATAAATGTGCTCCCAGGTGATTTTTCTGTAATAGTGCTGGGTTTAGAATTTTACCATTATTTCAGCATGGATTTAGATGTGTGCATGCAGGAAGCTCTACAAGAGACTAGTAAATGAAAGACACCTCTTCTCTGCTTAATAGAAATAATTCACAAAACATAATTACTGCAATGAAATAAGTAGATTTTTTGCAAGTGAAATTGGTGCATTCTGATCCTGCCACAGCTCAGCAGCAGGCTTCAAAGGGACTCTTCAGAAACAGTAAAGCCACCAAGGCTTCTAAGGTCTCTAAATCTTACAGGTCGCATCAAAGATTTCTTCTTTGATGTTCCATAATGATAACTTTTATTCAGGATGAAAGATAGCAATAAAATTATTCTCTAAAACAATATTCAACTCATCTATTATAAGCACATTTTAGTGAATGAATGAAGCTTGGGAAAAAAAAGAGGTATATTTTACATCAACTAAAATCAATAATCATATTTATATACATGATTCATTTTTGTGTACAAATTTTTTTAAAAAATTTATTTTTGTAGTTTTAGGTGAACACAATATCTTTATTTTGTTTCTATGTGATGCTGAGACTCAAACCCAGTGCCTGATGCATGCTAGGGAGTACACCACCACTTGAGCCACATCCCCAGCCCCCTGTGTACAATTTTTAATGATTTTAAGACATTTTACAAAGAGTATGCAACTTTAATTTGAAGAAAAATTGTTCACTAGGAAATTTTCTGTAACTATACATTAATAACAGTAACAACAATAATAAAAATTATAGAAGCCTACTTAGTGAAGTAGTCAATATAGGTTTAAGTGCCCCAGATTGTTTTCCAGGATACATTTTTATGACTAACCTTTCCAACAAGTTTTGGGTATGGTGCAGGTGAAGTGTTTAAAGGGTAGTTTAAATATTTGGAAATTATTATTTACTGAGAGTAGCTTTGGAGGTCAGCTTCAGCCTTTCTTTCTAGCTGCTTTCATAGTCAACAGTATGGTATGGTCCACTCAGCTGCCACTCAGCTGTAGACCACAATGAAATATTACATAGTACAATGGAGGAGGGAAGGTTCAAATTTTGTAAACTGAAATTTTTCATTCCATGTTGAAAGACACACACACACACACACACAAACGTGGATTGCTGGTAGTGTATTTCAATAATATCTTTGGCTCACACACAACCAAGGGCACTGTTTTTATTAATTTTCAGATAAAAGGAGAGTGGGAGATGGAAAGGGGTCTTTCCCGAACTGTAGATAATTGGTAGAGAAAAAAATAACTTTTCTGTGGTAATGAAGTAGAATCAATCCCATAGTCCAAAGACAAAGACCTTTTTTATATACTGAAAAACCAATGTTCCCATGTCATATATATTTTTAAGTTTATATAATAAGGTCTACATTCAAAGCAAAGGTACTTTGAAAAATATAAATATGAGAACTATATTCTAAGAAGGAAGCATACCAGTGTTAAAATGAAATGATAGACTTTCAAACAGGACGAACTGGACTTTGACTGTGACTTTGCCTCTTCCTCGGTGTGATACTGGATAACTCACATTATATATACTTCAGATTCTTCTAAAAATTGAGGTAGTAAGCACATTTTTGCTAAAACAAAATACAAGAAGTATACAACAATGTACCTGTCACTGAGCGGAGGCCCAGTGCCTCCCAATAAAGTCCTGACCTTTGCCTGCTGAGCTCCTAAGCCTCCTCACCTGAATTCACATAACTTCTTCAGGAAGCTTTTCCTTGATCCTTCAGACTAGTTGGGATCTGATATTTCACCTTCTCATAGCACCCAGTATTTCCATGCTGATTCTTATATTTTAAGTAATTATGTTATCAGTACTGCAAATTCTTCGGATGCCTTTATTGTATTCTGGTGTCTGGTTCATGTCTGAATTGATTACTACATATTAGAGGCAGAGTAAACAATTATTAAATGTGGCATTCATCAGTCCACATAAAAAAGAAGATGAATACACCAAATCTTCCTACTCAAATAGGTGGCATTTCAGTTAATTAATAAATATGTATTTTATAGAATAAATTATAAATATTTTACACTTATTAGTTCAGTAGTAAGGGCTTCAAGGAAAGTTATAATAGAAAGAGAAACCCTGATGTTTTACGTGAACATTATTAATAAGATTGGAATATGGATGGGCAGGAAATAAAGGCATCTGGTTCATTAGGAGATTAAATTTAACAAGATTCATGTAAGAATTTTGTGCTTTTTCATAGCAATGAGGAGCCTGACAAGAACAAAGCAGACAGAACAAGCCTAAGAACATCTGAAATAACAGGATTCAGAACTGTAATGACCCACTCTTTCTCCCTTTTGCTAGCTTTTCCATCTTTGTTTCTTCAATGATTAGCAAGTCCTTGGAAGGTATTATGCATAAAATAGATGTTTTATGAGTGGATATAAAAGAGAGAAGTGGAGGGCATACAGGCAATTCGTTTCTAATATCCTTTACTTCCTAATGTATGTGTATATATTTATTTTTATTATGTATATATACACACATATAAATCTTTTTTGGTATGTTTTTAAAATTTTTTATATGTTCTTTTTAGTTATATAAGACAGTAGAAAATATTTTGACATATTATACATAATGGAATATAACTTCCAATTCATGTGGTTGTACATGATATGGAGTTACACTGATCATGTACTCATACATGAACATAGGAACACTGTGTCCAATTCATTCTCCTGTCTTTCCTCTCCCCATCTCTGTTCATTTCCCTTCATTCCCCTTGTCTAATCCAATGAATTTCTATTCTCCCCTTCCCCCAGATCTTTATTGTATGTTAGCACACACATATCAGAGAGAGTATTCTGCCTTTGGTTGTTTTGGGGGGAGTGGCTTATTTCACTTAACATGATAGTCTCCAGTTCCATCCACTTACCCGCTAATGCCATAATTTCATTCTTCTTTATGGCTGAGTAATATTCCATTGTTTATATATACCACATTTTTTTATCCATTCATCTGTTGGAGCTTACATAGGTTGGTTCCACAGCTTAACTTTTGTGAATTGGGGGGATATTAATATTGATGTTGCCCTGTCACTATACCATGCTGATTTTAAGTTCTTTTGGTATATACTGAAGAGTGGGATAACTGGGTCAAATAATGGTTCCATTCCAAGTTTTCAGAAGAATCTCCATACTGCTTTCCACAGTGGTTGCACCAATTTATAGTTCTACCAGCAATGTATGAGTATACCTTTTCCCCCACATCCTTGCCAACATTTGTTGTTACTTGTATTCTTTATAATTGTCATTCTGAATAGAGTGAGATGAAATCTCAGTGTAGTTATAATTTGCATTTATTTAATTGCTAGAGATGTTGAACAATAAACATTATTATTTAAGAAAAATTCTTTTCCTTTTAGCTTTAATCAGAGCACTTTATAATTATTTTTAGTTGTAGTTGGACACAGTACTTTCATTTATCTATTTTTATGTGGTGCTGAGGACTGAATCCAGCACCTCACACATGCTAGGTGAATGCTCTATTGTTTAGCCACAAACCCAGCCCTAATCAGAGCACTTTTTAGGCATAGTAAACAGAATTTGGGGGAACAAATAAATTAATGTTAGTTTCAAAAAATCTATGACTGTGACCTGTGCAATTCTGAGCCACACATCAGCAAAGAATATGCCACTAATGTAATATCTACCCATTTGTATATTTTCATCCATTTCCAATATTATGTTAAATTTACTCTATTACCTTTATCCTTCGGAACAGATGAAGTCTTCCCAGATTTTTCTTTTCTAATTTCTGAAAGAAAGACCATGACAAGGAAAGGTTAAAAGAAATAATGGAGAAAAAAATTGCAAGTTTCTTCATGTGTTCTTATTACGGAGGCTTAAAGAACAAGCCTCTGAGTTGATGTTCAAGATACATATATTTCCTAAGATGTTGAAGATAAGGTATTGATCAAACAATGCAGAAGGCAGATAATCAGTCCATGAATTATTATCACAGGGGAAGACTATGACATTAACAAAATAGGTAAAATTAATACGTTATGGGCTGTGTTAGATAATGGCCAATGTAGTCTGTTTACTATGTATCAGGCAGTGTCCACTACTGTCTTGTCCTCAGTGTTTCTAAGAACCTTATAAAATATATAGGTTCTGTTATTACTCCTGCTTTTCAAATAAGGGGATTAAATAAACTTCCCAAAGACATAACTAGGAGACCTGACATTTGAACTAATTTCTCTGAGCTCAGCCACAGTGGTATTGCCTCCAGGAATTAAAAGATAGGATCAGGAATGGTTTCAATCTTGTTATGCTGAAGCATACCTTGAAAGACAGAAAGGTTTTAAGCTAACAGAGATGAATTGGGGAATTACACCAATAAGAATGGAAAGAAAGACTCATTTTAGAAGAGCAGAGAGAAGGGAGGCCTGGGCTAGGTATGTCTATCAATTTGGCTTACTACTTTGTAGGTCATTTGTTCCCACAAAAGGCAGTGAAATCAATGCTACATTACTTCTAATGCTAAATCAGAAAAGGCTATACTGTCTCCATTTGTTTATGCAGTGGTACCAGCTCTGGGAAATCCAGCTCCATATAAAAATTCAACCTACACCACCATGTTGGGAGAGTCTACATATAGGCAATCAAGTTATCAGCTCTAAGTGAGCTCTCAGCCAACAGCTAGCATAGAAGGCCAGCCATCTGAGCAAGCTGCCTTAGAGGCTCAGCAGTTGGTGGCTTCACATGACTGTAGACCAACCTGACATCTGACTGCAATCATACAAGATACACAAGTGAAAAACTGCCTAGTTTATGCTTCCTGAATTCCTAACACACTAAATCAAGAACAAAGTGAAATCAGCTGTTGTTTCCCACCAGTAAGTTTTGGAGTGGTCTGTATATAAATAGTATATGACAAAAGAATTACAAAAAAATATTGGGCCATGCAATTCTCCATTAGTGACATATAGATAATAGAAAAAGGATTTATTAATTTTACTTTAAAAATATGCAAGGTTTTCACTAAGATTCCATTTGAGTTTAGTTTTGTAAGTTGATTAGAATTTCACTGGATACGAAATGTCACTCTAACTATGTAACAGGATGTAGATGGTAAATTATATATTTTTCTAAATTTGAGAATAGGTTCTGGAGTTCATCTTTGATTTATGGTAGGATACCTGCCATTAACTGAGGCATAATGTGTAGTAAAAAGAAATATTTGGAGGTAGATATTATCTTTGTTTGGAATGTACTTTTCACCCAAAAAGGGAATGTCTCACAAGCAGTTAAAAAAACAGGTGAAGTGCAGATTACATGCAGGTGTTGTAAAAGTAAAGCAGGCATAGACATTTATAAATGGAAGCTGTCAGTATAACCTATAACATGATTTTTCAAGAAATCAAATAAATTTTATTGATTTCTTCGCACATATTAATTTGACTTAGTGAATAAATTAATTATGCAAAAATAAAATAAACCACAATGTTCAAAATTGTCTCCTTGATAATACATGAAAAGTGTATTTAAAAAGACTGACATCTTTAGTTACACCTTTCTACTAGCATTTTTCATATTTTGTCTCATATAACTTACCCACATTGTTGTATCATTCATATATTGATTTTTAGAAACATGTATTTCATAATTTTTATGCTATTGTCAGTCTTTCAAAATTTTATAATATCTCTGTGTTATTCCTTAAGTGATAATTGTTCGTCTTAAAGTTATTTAATTGTAATTAATTGCACAATTAATTGCACAATTGTTTTAGTATTTAATATATAAGAACCTCCCCAGAAATCATGATTTTACATTCATTTAAATGTCATTTTTGACCATCAGTGGTATTTTGGAAAAGCTGTTTTATAATATTCTCCTATCTATTTCAACCTCCAAATTACAAAATTTATAAATACAAAGATGAAGTTCTGAGAACTAAATATTTTGTTGTCTAAATATTTTCAAATACTTTGCTTATAAATATCAAGAGGATAAATATAGCACATTGAGGTTTTATGTAATACTAATTTTGAATTCTCCTGAAAATATGTAAACAGATTTTAATATTACTTGTGACTCTCTCTGTTAACTTTGTAATTAACTATGACTTGGTCTGGGAACCATCCTTAACTTTTCTTTGTCCTAACAATACATTTGATCATTCCCTACTCTCTTTGGTAAAGGATCTGATACACATAATTTTTTAACCTTTTTAAATATGTCTTCATAAATATTTATATAAAAATTGTTTAGCTATAATATTTCCAATTAATTTAATACAATTCAATTCAATATTGTCTTAAAATATTGAAGCCTTCTTCGTATCTATTACATAATTTTGTGTTATTTAAACAACAAAAACTTTTTCAACCTATTTCTTTTTCTATCTCTGAAAAGTCAACTCAGTTAAAAAGGATATGATAAAATTTGCTTGAATTACATCAGAAAAGTGTTGATTCTACCTGGAGACTATGGTGATCTACTCCTCACATAATTGTAAATAAAGTCTGCAAGTTAAGTTGCATAAAACAAAGTGGGGAGAGTTAGTAAAATCTGAATGCATCAACTATATATTAATATATAACACTTTGCAAATATTCTTTGAGGAGCTTCACTCAAGTATTACATGCTTTAAGAAAGTTTTTAAAACTGTGGTATATACAATGGCATAAGAATTCAAAATAAGTAACATATATAGAAATGTTAAATGCATATCTTGCAATCACCATCAGATACTAAGTCTCATCCAAAGAACTTCATATTCTTGTTCTTTTGACAAGTTCCTCCTTACATTAGTAGTGTTCTACAAATTATTTTAGTTGAGGGGCCTCCCCTGAAATCATGTAAACACTTTTTCCTTTGACTAAATTCCAATCCAACTTCATAATTGCTTTCAGGCTAGGTTGCTTGGCAGCAAGAAGTGGACTCTTCACACATCCTTAAATATTTTGGTCATTTTTATACATTAATATTCAGAATTCTAATCAGAATTCTGGAGAATACTTCAGTTGTCAACATTTTAGTTCATCTCTCCTAGCTCTTTTGAAAAAGATTAGCAATGTGTAATTATATAAATTAACACCTTTATTTGATCAGGAATTAGATACACATGATTTTAACTTGTATTTCAGTGTCTGGGAAATGAGATACACAAGTTCATCCCAAGGACAGACTTCTAAATCCATGACAAAAGATTTTATTTTTCAAAGAAATTTTTTTTAGTCATGAAACTTTCTTCATGTAGTCATGGTCTACCAAGATGTGAAAGTTTGATGTTTGAAGCAAGAAAATAAAGACAGGTCTAGGTCTTAGTGTTTCCTGCTTCCACATGTAATGACAAAGCATTACTTTAGGTCAGCAGATGCTTTTACATAAGATCTTTCACTTCACATTCATGTCCAATGGGTTAGGTATTATTGATATCATAGCTGAAGCTATGAGAGGTGAATAATTTGCCTGAGATTACAGCTTCTGAAGAGTAGCTGGAAATATGAACCCAGATGATCACATGAAAAAGTTAGGGTTGCAGTGCCACACTATGCCTCTGAGAGGAGGTGGTTTCTATGGAGAAGAGCACCACAGATGATCCCTGGAAGTCAACAGTGAGCATATCTGCATCACCAGCTGATACCAATGTTCTCATAACTTCATCCTGTCCCTCTGAAGCAGAGACTATGCCCTCAAGCACATACTAGGAACTCAATAACTACTTGTTGAATGAATAAATTAATTTGCCAAATTCTGTGCTGACCATATTTTATCAGGAAATTTCTCAGATCTTTACATAAAAACTTTATCATCCTTTATCATTCCCAGTTAATTATCTGTAATTGTCCAATTTCTGTCTTACATATGTGTAAAGTAAAATGAAATTATCAATATTCAATAGTTTTCCTGGACAAAAAGAAAATTACATATGTTTCGATCTGATATTTAGTAAGCATTTTTTTATATAAGATTTGGAGTGAATTTCCTAAATTGAGTCATCTACAATCATGTATCTGTATACATATTCCAATTTATTTTTGTAATTTTCTCTAATCATGTATTTATTTTAGATAAATATATTCTATTTTGCAGAAACCTTGTTCATAATGCATACTCTTCAGTGTCCTTCGAATTTCATTTCATATTCTGAAATCTTCTACAACACCTCTGTGTAATATCTTGGGAATCATTCGCCTTATGATTTAAGTATCCAAATTAAACATATGAGATAATTAAAACTGAAAATTTCAAGAGATACACTAGAATATAAAAATATTAACAGTTACTAAAATAATAAAAGTAAATAGGGCTTTTTATATACCCTTCTACTTTCATGCTATGGCGTTACAAAACATAGTACTTTGAAATTCACTTAGTGAACTAATTATTTGACATTTTGTTGTACCTTTAAAGAAATTAATAGACTCAGTTTTAGAGCAGATTTAGATTTATAGGAAAGTTGAGCAGAAAGTCAAAGTTCCTAAATACTTCCTTTGCTTTGGACAAAATATGTGTTTCTCCAAAATTCTTATGTTGAAATCCTAGGCCATGATGTGATGTAAGAGGAGAAGGTAATTAGGTCATGAGGGTCGAAAATTAGTGCCCTTATAAAAATAAAAACAAAATGCAGCCCTCTGAGATTTTTTGCCCTCTTTCAGCCATGTGAGGCCATATGAGGATATAAAAATCAACAACCTGTAACCTGGAAGAAGATCCTCTCCAGAACCTTACCACATCTGCAGCCTGATCTTGTACTTCCAGCCTCCTCAACTGTCAGAAAAAGATTTTGGTCATTTACAAGCC